GGGGCTTGGTTGCCAGCCAGGGCTAAACCACAACAACTTTCCATTCTTCAAATGATTATTTGCTACATGAGGACTTTCCATCTTGTCTGAAGACAGATCAGTTTCCAAAAGTTCTTGATAAGATATCATTCGTCTTTGGATATCCGAAAGAATTCGGATATATCAGTCAGGTGTTCCTTGTCATGTGCTTGTTTACTTACCCAAAGAGCTCCAAGGTTTTGTAAGGTACAATCTTCCATTACAAAAATCTTAAGTGCCAATATAGCTATTATAGTTACTAATTCTACTTGAGAAAAAGATTCTATTAATCTGCCCATTTAAAGAAAGTCTTCTAGTACCATTCTTTACATTGTTGTTTCGCCATCCTGGTTTTCATCTGGGCTTTTTAAAAACTGTACTTTTTAACAGAGCAGCTTGCACCTGTGCCTCCAATGATCTCCATACTGTCTCCACAGATTTAATTCTCACAAACTCTTTCCAAAAGTTAATCTTTATCTTCTAAGATAATGTGTCATTTTGTTCACTCTACCTGTTTTCTCATACAGTTGTTCCCTGCCCCTGCAACCTCTCTGCTATTATCTTTGTTATTGAAAGACTGAAATTGGTGAAAGGACTGCAAAATTTTTGTATTAATACCATGTTAAATTTAGTACAAAATAGGTCCCCAAAAGATTTGCTTAAAATATTTCGTACAGAATTTGCTATTCAGTAAAATTTAAATTCCCTTCTCTGCAACTCAATGGACAAGCTTTATGAAGCTTAGAACGCAGAAATAAACTGCTGACTACTGGTTAAGTACTGAACATACTTCACAGTGGCCAGTTTTCATTTCACAAACAGTCTCAGTTACAGCCATGCCAACTGCAAAAGTCAAACACTGCTATAGCCAATAAATAAAACAACTAGCCAAGAGAATTTGTCCCATCACCAAAAATGCAAATCTAGGAAAAAAATAATAATATTGCTGGATACAATAATTTTAGCCTTCTGCAAATCGTAGATCGTAGTCCAATATTTAATATTAATTTTGGTCTTTCTGCTCCAGAGCAAAAACTCCTCTGTGACCACAGCGTGTTTTCTCACTGGGTAAGATGAAAAAAGCAATCCTAGTATCATAACTGCATTCATGTCCAATGAAAGAAGCCTTAAATTGCAGTAAGAACAAGGGACCAACAGTTTATTTGTAACGCACATTTTGTAAAAGGGACTTGTAACACACTACAATTTCTACACAAGTATACACAGCATTCTTTCTACCTGCCACTCTGCAACTCCAGTTTCTGGAAGACTCAATTTCACAACAATGGTATCACTTTCGCAATCTCAGTGCAACACCTAACACCTAAATAAGATTCTTAGAAACAACTATGGAACCTACCTTTTCTCTGTTTAACTGGCATAAATTTAAAGATAAATACCAGAAAAGAAGGGTCTGAAACATGGCTGACGAGACATATTCTCATCTCCCTTTCTCTAGCTGTTTAGAGACTGAAGACTCAGAGTTCCAGCACACATTAGTCAAAGACAAAGTTTCATCATTAGTGAAACAAGAGTTGAGAACTATGCATACTGACTTCCCAGAGACTGAAAGACACCTGAATCTTGTTTAGTCTATGGAATTCCTACCCAGTCAAGCATGTTTAAACACATTTGGGTCATCTTTTCATAAAAAGCTATACAACAGGAGGAAAAAAAAAAAAAAAAAGAAAAAACCCAACCATGATTATTTAAAACAACAGCTTTCTTAATTACAGATAAAAGAGCAGTGTCAACTTATCTGTAAATTATTAATCTGTGTTATTTTCAGAAGTGCAGTAGTATGACAATGAGTGCCCTATTTAAAAAAATAAATATGCTTACAAAACTCTGTAACAAAAATATAGAGGGCATGCATTCAGTTTAACATCAAAAAAACCTTCTGCTAACTACATTAAGAGACTGAAGTACCAGCTTCCTACACTTAATGCTTTCAAATGTTAATCAGTTGGCGTAGTCATCAGATAAAGGTTAGATAAAAAACACTAGGAGTTAAATGAATAAAAGCTATATGGCATGAAAACCATATATGACTTGTATTTTTCATGAAACCTTTCCCATACTGTCTTTTGGTGAAAAAAAATACATTTGAAACAAATGGCATCTGTGGCATGTCTGGATTACCAGCATGTTTTCATTCTTACTATTTATTTGCATGTTAAAGAAAGTTGAAATCCCTTCTTTCCCCTCAAGAGCAGTAAGTGAACACATTTTTCTTTCCACAAACCTTTCTGTTCCATGTCTGGCAATTACTCATCTTTCCTCTTCTTCCACCCACCACCTCACCTCAGTCTGCAAAGAGTATGAAGGGAAAAAACCCCCAACAAACCAGATCTCAAAGATGACAGTTTTTTGGTGTTACTTTCAGTTCTTCCTGGGCCTCAAATTCCACCCTTGAAAACTGTAAGACTATATAACACAGAATTGGTGGGTAAGACTAGCTTTTTCATTTAGAAACATGTCATAAGTGTGTCATTCTAAGAAATAAACAAAATCCCAGACTTGAATCAAAATTACCAATTTAGAAAATTCTTACCTGGAAAACTTGACTTGTTTGGTAGTATCACTTCAGCACGTTCCTCCTTCTCATCATTGGGATCCTCTTCATCAGACAGTACTAAGAAAGCCTCTTTTGGCAGACTTTCATTGCTTTCCTGTTTGGATGGTGAACCCAAACAGTTGTCTATTTTCTCTTCTAAATCTGTGACTGTGTCATCCACTGGAAGCAGAGAACTTTTAGAAAAACAGCTCAGTTCATCTTCAGCCGGGGCTAGTTTTTCCAAAATTGGAATAATTTCATCTGTTTCCATAGAGTCAGTATTGTCCAAGATACTTTCACTTGGCTCATCTATTGTCTTCTGAACTGTGGTTTCTGAAAGATCTGAAGTGCAGTCTTGTTTGTCCTTTGGTTCCTGGTCAGCTTCCATACTGCTAGAAATGGCTGCTTCTCCAACAGCATCATCAACAGTTACTTCTTCAGCCTTCTTTTCCTCACCAGATAAATTGGAATTAATAGTCAAGTCATTTGTTTCTCCCTTTTCTTCTGAAGAGTCATTAACATCACAAATTGATTTACTTTCACCTTCTGATGGGATGTCACCCTCTCTTTGGTCCACATGATCTTTTGTATTATTTTCTTCATGGAAGTTATCTTTATTGCTACCAAGCACTCCATTTTCAGCCTCACAAGCTAAAGCAGTATCAGTACCTTTATCTTTCTCAGGATTAACATTTTCTGGAGACAGCATTACAGGTTTGGGTTCTATGTCATTGACTATGTTCCCTGCCCTACTTTCAGGGCTTTTGTCTTCACTAATTTCATCAGAAGCTGTTCTTCCTCCTTCAGAGTCAACACACAAATCCACTAGGCCATTAACTTCCCTCTTGTCCTCCATACAGTCTGTATTGCTTAAAGGGGAATTTAAATCAGAATCTCCATTCTCATGCTTTCCATTTAACAGTTTAACTTCAGTTGTCTTCAACACGTCCTCTTTAACCTTATAGACAGCTTCAAGTTGTTGTCTATCACTTACTCTCATTGTTTTTCGTGCTTTAAAGACTTTTTTCTGAGGTTCATCTGTGCTATCCATCTTGACCCTAAAAAAACAACAACATAAAGAATTGTGAAGGTAGCAATTCATTATCATATTACAGTGTTCCTAAGACAGACTGTGGCATTTAGCACATTTTAAAGCAAACTGGTTTAACTGTATCTGCAATAACAAAGAAACACTAGACAACACACTTAAATTTTGTTTGTCCTCAGAAAAAGCGAATACAAGTTTCTACATATGCTGTACAAACATGTGCATGTAAAGACCATTGAGATCACGCTATCACATTAATATTATGTAGTAATATTCTGACCACACATTTCAGACCAGTCGTCTTGCGGTATTATTACAGCAAAGCCACATAATGAGGTTTTTTATCTAGACACTGATATTATGCTAATGTAAGAGCCAGCAGCTTCTCTTCTCCTAAAAAAATAAGAAATATTCTTGTCTACCAGTTTACACTTATTTTATCTTTCTAAAACTCTGTAATTTCAATGAGTTTCAAATAGAATTAACTGGGGTAAGTGCAAAGATGTTTATATCTTCTAAGAAAATTTCAATATATTGAAAGAACTTCTGAATGTGTCAGAGAGAATTTTTTTTTCTTCTGTACAGATAAAATAGACCTTCATCACCCGTATTTATACAATAGTTAACTGAACTTGGGTTTTTAGAGCACTTTCATTCCGTTTGCAATAATATTTTACTGAGACTATTTGTACTCATAAAAGCTACAGTTTTTGTAGCTGTTTAGAAAAATTTCTTTTTCAAGGAAAACTGAAGGGTTTTGCCTTCCATTATAACTTTATTCATTCCATGACAAGTAAGAGCATTAATAGATAGAAAAATAATGTTAAAAAAATCTACTTTATGAAATCAATAAATGGAGTTAAGTCCAGCATTACCCAGGAAGTTAAAATAATTTTGTTGAAATACAAGGAAATCTCATTTCATTTGTTTCTATTAAACAAAACAAACAACAAATCCGTAAGGATTTTTAAAATGTATTTTTTTTCCCCATGTGGTCTTGTTTTAGGACCTGGTTTTAAAGGATTAGGCACAATCATTCATATCACATGAGATTGTTCAGAAGCAAAAAGCAGTTAGGGAACTTGTTATATCCTAAATGTAACTCGGCAACTAAGATCTTGAATCAGCTGATGCTAACCAATTTAGCTCTACTGAAGTTACTATACCATCATAAGTTACTCCTGCCTAAGATAAGTTTCTCAAAACATGCAAAAATTCACTTGGGTAACAGTAGTTAAAAGATATTACAGCAAGTGGAACAAAAGAAAGAAAATAAATCAGGCTGTTTTCTCCATATGAATTTTATTTTTTTCCCCACAAGCACCAGATAAGCAAATGTTTATACCATCTATACAGCAGAATTAATTCACAAAGGATGCATTTTGAATACTTAGCACAGTATTTTGCATCTTCCCCTAAACCACTTTAATTCACAGAGCTGAGAAATCATTAATAGATAGCATTTTGTCTTTTCAGGTGGGGTATTTTTTTTTTTTTTTTTTTGATAAAAATTCAACAATCAAATCACACAAACATGCCTAGAGCTTTCAAATATGTCAATCTCTCCTTCAAGTCCAAAACTCCCAATTATTCCTGAGAGAATCAATCATGTTTTATCACCAGAAGTATCTGTGGCATGCAGTATCATTACAATACCTTTACAGGATATAATGTTTTGAGGTTTCACACCAAAATTGTCAGTCAAAAATAGAAATGTACCACTGAATTCCTGTGTTCATTAAAAGGAAAGCAAGAGTTGCATATTTATTAGGTTAGTTCTCCAGTATCCTTCTTGTTTTAAATATACTTATCTTCACCAGTTTAGCACACCATTTTAGCTATGGGAATCAAGAGCTTATGGGTTTGGGGCAGATTAAGCTGCAACAGCTAGGGTAGGTATCAACATCTATTCCAGTTCAGGCCAATATATCAGATTATTTAGCTGTTCAACAGTTGATTAATCCACTATTCAAGCTGCTCCTAACTTTGGGCAATAACTCTGGAGAGTGGCTGGTCTGACCACTATGTGGCTCAACAACACAGCAGTTAATCTAGGGGCAATGGTTTAAATCTACTACCAAAAGTCCACTAACACTTAAATTAGTTTGCCCACAGTGGAAACATTGAGCACAGAAGGAAGTCCTTGAAGTCTGAGCTATGCTCGGCAGTAATGATGGCAAATCTTTGCTTTAACTGATGTCAAATTTGTTGTCAGAAGCCCCAGCCCTCACTGTCATGTATACTAGCTCATCTGTTAGTCCCAAAATTGACAGCAGTTACATATTTCATTAACACTGTCTTAAAAGATTTAAGATAACAAGTTATTTTATTTCAGAGCAGGTCTTACAGAGAAGCCTATCTTTGAGGAAAAGAAAAAAAATATTTCCCTTAGAATTCTAAGGAATCTCCTGGAATGACTGGGAAAAAAATGCAAGTTATACCACAGAGTATTACTGCCCAATTTAGCTACAGTTAGCTACCTGAAGGAATCAAAGAATCATAGAAATGTTGCTCTCAAGACACCTGTGGAGGTCAAATAATCCAACCTTCCACTCAAAGCAGGACTATCACCAACATTAGTTCGGATCAGAGATGATTTTGTACACCAAGTTGTAAAATCCACAAAACAGAGATTCCACAGCCTCTAAGTAAGTTTGACTCCACCCTCTTTGTAACCAACCTTGCCTACAAGTTCTATTTAGGCAGCTGTAAGACTGTCCTTTAGCCTTCTCTTCAGCAGATTAAAGTTGTCAATCTCCCTCCATGCCTCATTATACATCATGTGCTTTATGCTCCTATCATTTTGGTAGTCCTCTGCTGGATCATTCCTAGTTTACCTGGAACAGTTTGTTTATGAAGGAAATTATATAAAATCTACACACTGCCCAACTACAATATTCTAAGGTAAGGTATGAATATATATTTTCTAAGGTAAAATATGAATTCAACTATCAAGACAAACTGTAAACCTTGCACTCATTACATACCATACTTTATAATTATAAGGCATCAGTTAATATACATTAATATACATTCAGTTAACGTGACCTGACAAAAATATGGACAAAATAGAAAGCAATATGATAAAAACCAAGATTTTTTCCCCCCGTCTTGCATTTCTATTAACATAACATATTTCAGTTCTTTTCTGCATGACAATCTAGAATCCCCATATTTGAGTAACTGATGGTGCTTAAACAACGCTTCAATTCACACCTCAGGAACAGATGAACAAATCTTCACAAAATGTTGTATTGGCTCTGTTTACAGGCTCTCAATAATATGATTAAGACATGAATGTTAGTGTCTTAATCACAATCAAAGTCTAGTTAAGACTTTGCCAGTCTGAACTAGTTTCTGAACAGAACTATCTATTACTGCATTGCCACTAGTGGGAGCAAAATATAACACCTATAAAAACACTGATTTGAAACGGCAGTTTGCTTGTTTTTAGAAAATGTTCTAATCACATAACTGTTTCCAGTCACATGAAATATGAACTCCACGTGAGCTGTTCATGTCCTTCCAGAGCTGTCTACATGCTAAATACAGTATCTTTATATTCCTCCAGAAGAGGAATTAACACAGTAATTCTAGCTGTGAAGTTAGGAGAAGCATAAAAACCTCTGGTATTTCAGAAGTGCATGTACACTTTTTGAAAGCATATCCCTTCCTTCTTCCCAAGAATTTAGAATGTAAAGCACATTTTTTCAAGTCATTATAAAAGCATGTATCAGGCTGTCAAGTAATAGAGCACTGATCACCATATTCGCATTCCATGCATCCAACATGCATGCTGTTACAGATGTAGACCTCGTAGAGCCAATTTGGAAAAGAATACAAAATTCCAGGCTCGGCCAACCTTGAACAATTCTAAGAGCTAATAGGTGACCACCTAGTGACAGTCTTCTGTTAATGTAGTACAAGGATACAGGGCCTTTGTATCAAAATTAAGACAAGTAGTTTGATCTCCCAGGCTACGATGTTTTCTTTTATAAGCATTACCCAGAATTTAGAAGTTCTTATATTACAAAATTCAATCCTACTTCTCCTATGACCAAAAGATAAACAGATTAATAAAGTGTTCACAGACAACTTAAAATCAAATTCCTAAGTGTGTCACTTGAGTAATCATAAAACATAACAAATTAGTATTTTCTGCTCTACTTTCCTTAATCATCTAAGCAATCTTTCATTCATATTTTTAACAGAAAATAAAATACAGTAAATAGAGAGTAAAATGAAGGGCAATTCCTTTTTAAATTTGCCAAGAATAGCAGTCTTAAAAAAAAAAAAAAACAACAAACCTTTATACCGATGCATCCTTACTTTTTTCTTAAAAAAACCCTGAATGAATCTCAAGTTTCTAACGTTTCAAAATTACATTTACTTTATATCTTAGGATATTATTCAACATCTAGTTTAGAAACAAAGCTCTAATACAGTTCTACAGTGAACCTGTACAAAAAAAAAGGATTCTCATAAAATTCCATTGTTAGACCGTTATTTGAGCAACTCATGCATATTTTCAGCTCAATCCCACAATCTTTTGCAACCAAATAAAATCCAGCAACAGCTACCGTAAGTGACAAAATTATAAGCATAGATGAGATTAAAAGATGAACACTAAACGCTGGTTAACAGCTAAACATCATGTATCACTGCAGACCAGCCTTAAAGTGTTTCCAGCCATACCCACAAGGGAGCACACTCCAGCCAAGTAACAGATCTCATGTGAGAGCTCAGTAAAAGAAGAAACAAATAAATCGGTGACCAGTCCAGACAGGCTTGGTCATACCCGTGCCAGCCAATCAGCATTCATCTGACAAATACTGCCTTCCAGTCTTCCGAAGGGGTAAGGAGGTTGTCCTTCAAAGAGCAACTCCAGAGCAGGCTAGGTGAATTCAGTCTTCTACAAATAAAACATTTAAAACTAGTAGTGTTCTGTGGGAATTTATGTTGGTAGCCTCCCTTTATACTTAAAAATTAACACAGCGTTTAGC